CGACCGACATCAACTTCAACTGCAGCGATCACCTGTAACAGCACCTGTAACAACCAACCTCGACCATCAATGCCTGCACCGGAACATCTGCATCTCTACCGTTCCGACCACCTTTATTTCTTTTCTAGTATAAATTAGCATATATCATATATATCCTCGTTCTGTCGTCTATGTTGTTTTGCCTTGTCAGATTTAACGTCTTCGAAAATGCTAGTGGCCTCTCGTGATCTCATCACCCTTTTGTGATACGGGGGCGCTCGAGGGGTCCGCTACAGAATAAATACATAAATAAAAAATAATCACCACTTCCCTTAAAAGCAAACAAATTCCTTTCTTGGTGAAGTGACAAAACACTTTCATTTGCTACATCCAACATCCCTCAAGATGTATCAGCAGAAGATTTGAACACCTGAAATTGAGTGAAGAGAAGAGGGATAGAAGACTTACTCTTACTTAACACACTATTCAGTAGCCACGAGAAGTAAACACTTTTAGACGCTATACGGTGCCTCATCCACTTTGAGGACACGTTTACAATTATTACGAGCAGACACTGAGAGGCGGTCTGTTGTGATCGGAAGTATCACGCTGGTACAGACCGAAGTGATTCTTGTAGGCTACAGCGGTTGAATAGGCCGGTGTGAATCAAGAAAATTGTAGTTTCATCTGGTATTTCAGAGAAGGTACAAAAGCATCGATGTGGCCTTTTACCCAAGAAAAAGCCTCAGTAACACAATTCTCAATAGGAAGGTGAAACATTTTATTCCAAGGGCCGTTGCGAAGAAAATTACGAATTGAAACCCAATCAGTATTTCTGATAACAGAAAGAAGTCTTGTGAATAGGAGGTTCATGTCTAATAGAAGACCCCCAAAAATATCAACAAATACTACAGCGTGTTCCTAATTGCCAAGAGTACAGAGTTGTGAGGCTTTACAAGAGCTAGGAGTGGAGGTAAGGAACAAATCAAGTAAAGAAGCTTGTCTGTCAGATTTACTAAGAAAACGAGTAGGGAAATCTATTATTTGACTGCGGGACGGGAAAATTAAAAGCATCAGAATGATTAAGCCACTTGTTATGATGAGCATTAAAATCACCAAACATAAAAATGTTCGCAGATGAATTTAGAGAGAGATTTTTATACTGTCAGATATTTTGCGTAATATATTACAATCCTGGGAAGAAGGGATGCAATAAAGGAAAAAAGATAGCTAACAGAGAAAGTCGAAAGCTAATAACGAAAGTCGAGAGCACATGAAAGAATCATTCAGGGACTCAAGAAACGATTCTCTTGCCATTGGAAGATTTTTTGGGATATAAACACCAAGGCTATGCACATGTATTCGAGATTCTTATTTTACAAAGAAGAAGATAGCCTGGAATAGAGAATTCATTGGTACCAATAGAAGAATTCAAATTATTTTCGCAAAGCGTTAAGATCTCTGGAGAAGGTCTCAAGAGAAAAGATTCTACACAACAGAAATTGGCACGAATACCACAAATATAGGAGATAGTGATTATCCAAGCGTAGCTTAGATGTGGCACAAGGCCGAAAGTATGGAGCACCCAGTGAGGATCGAACTCACTACTCAGTCGTAATTGTTCTAACGAGACAAGCTTGCTAACTATTACACTGCCTCGAGGAGCCCATGAATATAGGAGATACAAAGGTTGACTAGGGTATCAAAATATTCATGAAAATTGTTTAAATTTATAGCATGGCGACGAAATGGAGGGTCAGTTTAGTTTAATTTTATTAAGAAATATTGAACATATAACAGAAAATGTTCATCAACGTAAAGTTTCTGTTTTTTCTAAATAAAGGTAATTGTAAAATTATTTAAATATATTTGCCGATAAATTAGTTTAATTATATAGTTAATGAGGTATTTCAAATTAGACAATATTCAATCAAAAAACAAAGAAAAAAATTGTAATGTAAATCTACGATGGTGATCTAAATTAATATTTTTAAATTTAATTTACAAAAATTTCCATAATATGGTTTTGCCCACTTGTTGGTAACATATGTTTAAAAAAAATCTACTGCTAATTCTCTAAGATGGTTTTGTCGAAGACCTATGGAACACTATTTGGTAGCGAAAATGAATGTAATTCTTTTGACATTCGCTTTATTTTTGTTTATTTTATAGATTTTTGTTGAAAGGTTCTTGAATGAATTGATAAGAAATCAAATCATCGCGTTTGCTGCTATTTAACAATTTTCGTCTTGTAGAATGGAATGAACAAACTATTGCTTTAACAGATTCATATTTATGGATTTCATGAATTTTACAAATACATAAATGGTTTGCTTGCAAATTTGCCCAAAGTACAAATAACTTGAACCCAAATCAGCAAAGTTAATCAAGAGCCATAACACATAGTAGTTAATAGTTCATTTGGTTAATTTTATTTCCTCGTATTATTAATAGTATTGAAAACTGATCAATGGAGCATAGTAGAATAAATGCCTCATGTTTAAACACAATGTAGATAATAAAAAAATAATTTCAGTATCTTATGTCACTTTAGCGTACAAAGAAATTGTGTTCTAAATAAATTCTCTGATGAGCTTTGTAAAAAATGGAAAACTTTTTTACAATCAGTGACAATTATTGGTTGAATAAATTTATTTAGCTTTACTGCTCGGGTAAGACTATTGAAAATATTGAATAATTTTTAATTATTCAATATTTTCAATGATCTCACCCGAGCAGTAATTAAATAACTTTTAAAACATTATTTCCAGAAAACACTAACAGCAAGTTCTTAATTCTATATGGTTTTTGGAATAATTAATACTTTTCAGTTCTGCGATATTCACATTGTGTCAATATTCAGTTATTTTCATCTTTAAAAGTTATATTTTTTAACGATTTCACATTTAAATATTCCTCAAACTACAAATCAGTTTTACAAGAATGAGGCTCAATTCTTTCTAAGCTTTTTGATTGGACGAACCGACTTCATGTAAAGCTTTCCTATTGGTCAATAAAAATCAACGCAAAATCAATTGAAAATGTGTTCTTAACTCTTACTGTGGTTATCGTAATATTTACTTTGGAGCACATGTCTGATTATTAAGCTATATGATTATCTTCTCGTAATGGAGATATGGACTGGTTAATTGAGACACTTGATTTGTTTAGCTTTTTAATCAACATCGAAAATAAATTGTCCTCCGAAAGAAAGAGGCGTGATTGAAAATGTAGCATGTTCTTATATGTGATAAGTGAGTACATGAAGGTTAGTAGACATGGAAATGACTGTTAATATATACTGATAATGTGTGCGTGTTGGTGTGTGTGTGTGTGTTAATGTGTACGGATGTAGAAAATATGTGTTGTGGTTGTGTTATTCACCTTCCATTTCATTCAGTACGCAATAAGGTCCCATCTGTTTATTTCCCATACCGCGACTCCCGCCCACAAGACCGTGTATGGCGCAAGAATTGCAAAGAAGGATGGCGTTTATGTATCTGTCTTTCCTAATCTACTGATTAGTCCCGGCCCAGTCAACGATTGAACAATCTTTCCCGCTCCTAACTCCCCCGCCTGCTCTGCCTTAACTCCTCTCTTCACACTTCCTTAAAGGGCCACCTTGTTCTCCCCACACCCTCTTTAAAAAAAATCCGTTATCAAGTATTTCTCTACTTGAGAGTCATTTTTTTTCAAAACCAAAAACAATAATCTACTAGTGATTGCCACACTATTAAATTCGCCTTCAAGCGAAAAACAGCAAAAATCAAATCATCAGAAATAGTTTAAAAAAAAATAAAGAATAAAAATAGATAATAATAACAACACTCAAAAGGTTGCAGTTACATCTTCAACAATCATTTTAAATAGACAATTACAAATTCGGAAAGTGCAGTACAACTGGTTGGGCATTTTACTGTCGATGTCCACTGCCTTCCAAGAAAACATCAGAATGAACGCTGACGATGGAACCAGTGAATGTAAGTAAAGAATTCTATAAATTTGTTTAAAATTTTGCTGTAGAATTAATGCCTGGACGAGACGTAGGATTTAAGTTAGTCATTTTATTGTACCTTGTAGAATCCACCCAAAAAGAATAAAAATTATATCATAACTTGAGTCATTAGATTTGTAAGTAATTTTTACTTTTCAACATAATCTCCTTCCTTATTAACTTATAAAGGCATTTAACGCAATGCCTTTTCCATAGATTGCATCAAACTTTATAACAAGTTGGTTTTAGATAAAACCATCAGCTAATAGCAGTATCATGCTACAGACTTATTGATTCACTCTCAATTCAAAACTGCCCAGCTCAGTGTATAGTGATGACTTTTGTCTTTCAAGCTTGTCTAAACATTTCTTTCGTACGTGTAAAATGTTACTTTGAATCATCATTTTTTTTAATGAATTTCTGCTCTTTACACTCTTTACACTCTGTTATACTGCCAAAGGCGTCTCTATATTTACTGCGGCTACTTTTTTTATAATTATGACCCAATCTGAATTTCATGTCATTCCGTTGTTTATGTCGAAACCGGAATTTCCAATCTCATGAAATGATGATCTTTTTTTACCTAGTAATCATAAAATGTATAAATGAAATAATACAAATAATCGTTTTGGTGAAGAATTTGATTTTGTTACTGAAATGATTGTTCGAATCTTAGTAAAACCCCTGCTTCAAATGTCGAAATTCATTAGCACAAGGACCCTAGAACAGTGTAATTATATTGTCTTATGGAAGACATTAACTTGGTTAATCCAAGTTTTACAGGAATGTTAATTGGAAAGTTTTACATACATGTTATACTGTAAAAATTATGTAACCGAATATAAGTAATTTAAACACTATTCTCTATCGTAGTATCGAAAATTATCTTGTACACAAATATTATGAAAACAAACTATTTTGAAATGATGTTTAAGGTTAAAATGCTCAACAAGCAATTGGTAGTGTATTTTAAGAGTATTGTTGTATTAACAAATTATCAGTAACACACACACGTATACAATCACACATGTATATTTTATCTATCTATCTATCTATCTATCTATCTATCTATCTATCTATCTATCTATCTATCTATCTATCTAAGAAAGATCGCGGAGAAGTTTTCAGTCCAACCAACATTCGTAAATCTGACCAAACAGCAGAATGTTTTTCTGGATCGAGCCAAGACTTGTGTTTCTTCGTATATAATTACGTGCATGCACTGTTGTAGATGTACTTATTTGCCTTATTTGAATTGATACATCGAACATCATAACTTCCAGAACCAATGTCACTATTAATAACAATATCTATCTAATAGCTCTACCGGAAGTTTAGTACACCCAATGCTTTAACTGATTCCAGAAGTATGTCTTTAGAAAATGATTGTGTTTCATAATTGTGGAACACTCAGTAGTGACTGAGCTTAACAATCAACGATATATGAAAACAATTTTGCACATCATTGATAAACGAAGACACCTTTCCAGAATTACATAGATATGTCGAAAGACCTCAATAAATAATTGAGGAGTGAATAGATTTTCATTTTATTACAATTACATTCTCAGATTAATCAGTCAAAAACAAAATAAAATATATTTTAATTCTTAACGTTGATGTCGGTGGCAGCCTCAATGAATATTTTTAACATTTCTTTTCATATTATAAACCAATTAACATTTTATGAGGTTAAATATTCCCGAAATTTAAGGTCAAACATCCTTGAAATTTAAGAAATCATACACAAAATTTAAAGAAATTTAAAGGTCAAACAGCCCAGAAACGTAAGTGATAAAATCCTAAAATTTAAATGATCGAAGTTATTACATTGCCGAAATTCAAAAATTTCAAACATATCCCGAAATTTAACGCCAAACATCCTTGAAATTTAAGAGGTCAAACATTCATTAAATTTAAGAGGTCAAACATAACGAAATTTCACCAAAGACTCACGAAGTATTACACTGAATTCAAATAATTATCTACAGGAACAGAAAATATTTAATTTTTTTAAGCTAAATATTTTCTAAAATTAAATTATATAACAATTCTGTTAAACTAAATTATGTGATTTTCGTAAAGTATGAACTAACACCAATGTCTACAAAAATACTAAAAATGAAATTTCATTTTAATTAAGAAACTAATTTACATTTCTCTCATAATTGATGATTTGAAAAGGTTACACATTAAATATGCAAACAAATTATTTTAGAATAGAAAAAATACTTTTTTTGTGAGAAACGTTGAAAATTAACTTTAGTCATGATAACTGAACCCCTCCCCATATATATATATATATATATATATATATATATATATATATATATATGTGTGTGTGTGTGTGTGTGTGTGCGTGTGTGTGTGTTTGTTTTGGTGCTGAAAAATTCTTGGCCAAATCCCTTGTCTAAAATGAGTATTTTGATGTTTGGCCATTGAAATACTGATTTTAGAAAGTGGGTCCACCCGGGCGGGAGATTTTCATCTTGTCTATACAAACCTAGGTTAGTTTTCTCGTCTATACTAACTTAGGTTAGTTTTAGTACAAGACTTCAAGTATACGACATCCAGTGAGCATCCAATTTACTGACGAGCTCTTTAACTGCATCGAGTGCGCTCTGCATGGGTTAACTGAACTGAGTTGATTTACTACAACTTTTTGTCCACCATAACATTATAATCAGGCCCATCTCCAAGATGGGGGCCAACCCTGACCACTCTCAGTAAAAATGATCTGGACTAATTTTAATGTGGAAATTCTTACTCGCGAACTCCTGACTTAAACTCGAAGCACTGGCGACAGGTCTGATTATAATAATTAAAAAAAAAAAAATTAGCTTACATGCATGTACGTGTTAAACCAAATCAAATTTTGTTGATGTCTGTATTTGATATTATTAAAACCCTAACTTTGCTTATTTCACATTTGATAGTATGTTTTTATAACTCCCTCTCCAAAAATAGGTGGAAAGGTAAGTCAAGCTTTATATGTGAAATTGAGGTATGTTTATAGGCAACCGCTGCGGATAACCAGCCTAACTCCAGAATACTGTATGTAAATAGAATGGGAATCATACATCAAATGCAGCATTCCAGTCGGTGTCTGTAAGAGAATATATCGCAATTTTCGTTAATCTAATTCTAACTCAGTGTTTCTCAACCATTTTTACTTCATGGCGCACTTGTAGAATAACTAAAACTCTGGGGCGCGCTTTAAATTTTAATAAAAAGAAAGATTATCCATGAAAATAATATGAAAATAATAAAATAATAAAGAGGCCTTCTGAAATAATCATTTATTTTGAAGACATTTCATTCTATATTTAAGCGGAAAAGTTTTCATTTAAAGGGATTTATGAAGAATCTGCTATTTTTTAGAGAGGTTGATAATGACTGATTTAAAGATTAAAGAATTTAGCATTCAGTTTAAAATATCAAATGGAAGCCATGTGCTTGGTGTCTTTAGCTTTTTAAAAATAAACATTTTTTAAATATAAAAATAATTCATAAATTACACCTTACACACAGTATTTACTCTGCCCCCCCCCCCAATTAGGACGAGATGTGACACAAGGTCTATTTTTAGGTGGGGACCCGCGCGCGTACACCCGGGACAGGAACAAAAATTCCCCTCAGCCCCCGCAACCATCGGTTGCGCTGGCCTCGGTGCGAGCACCAATCCCCCCGCCCTGGTGCAATGGGAGGGCGCGGTCTCGGGCAGCTGTTCCCCAAGGCTGGGCACCTCTTCAGTATTGTTTTCCCAGTTGCCCCTCTGTCCTTTGACAGAGAAGCCCCTGAGCGCACTCTGCCCGAAGACAGAGACGCAACTGAGAGACGATAAGTAGTCGTGTAACTACTCAAAAAGAGTAATTTACACACTTGGGACACACCTGACAACCTTTCAGGGTGCATTAGTATACCCAGGCGCACCGGTTGAGAAATGCTGAGCTAACTATTTAGTAAGTAATTAGTTTTAAAAATATTTTATTTACTTTTTAAATATTTAAAGTTTCAGATTATGTTGATCATGATATATTTAGCCAATGTTAGAATCTGATTGAAAAGATATTAAACTATTTGTAATAGTATTAATGGTAGATCTTTCTTTGTTCAGATATTTCTTGAATATTTTTATCATCTTTTTCAATAACAAACTAATCAAAGACAAGCAAATTCATTTCATGTGTTCTACTTAAAAGCGCCATAGAATTACTAGAACAATAACTGAAAGAAGATCTTGAATTTAAGCTGGTATTGTTACTATAATCAACTTTGGAGAAACAATGTATTCTTTTTCAGTTACAATAAAAGCTGAAAATAATAAATGGATTTAAAAAGTTAATAATTCGCATCATTGTAAAGCTATTAAAATTAAATAATTAATAGAATTAAAGTTTGTAATTCGGATCATTATATTAGCATCAAACGAAATACACAGAGAATTCCAAAATTTAAGGCTGAACTAACAAGAAAAATGTGACAGACATTATTATCGTTCTTTTCTCCCTTCTCCTTAATACTATTAAACACCCTGCAGTTTTCGTTGCAAGTATGTTTTTACGGGGTGAAGTTGCTGGCCACACCCTTAACCCTATTGAATTTAGAGTTGTCCTTCTCTCAGACCGGTTTCAAAACAAGGCTAGATAGTCCATACTGTCCTGCTATTTAACCCATACTTGGGGGTGGAAAATTAATGCCTTCACACATTTCTCTTTGTTGCTGATACATGTAACCCAGTACAACCTCTCACATGTTACTGGAAGAAGAGATGAGCGCTACCAAGGAATTGCTTTAAGTAATGTCATGAAGGGCAACTCCTCATCAGGATACACTAACGTTCTTACATGTCGTACGTTGAACTGAAATGAGATTCTCTCTTGAATCTAAGAAATATAAGGAAATTAAAATTAAAAAAAAAAAAAAAACCTTGTTATAATAATGGACATGCGTCCAGTGTAGCGGTTATCAGTGAGGAAAATGGAATTGTCAATTTCTGGTCTATTCTGTTGCATTCATTTCGCAATGATATACTTGGGGAATGTATACATTGATTTTCCCACTCAAATCTATGGATTAAATAGCAGGCCAGGCTCTCTAGGTTTGTCAACTCTGGCGGACAATTCTGAATTCAAAACCGTGGAGGAACAATATGAAACCTCTTCATTATCTTTCCCAAGAAGTTATGACATTTCACAAATAATAAAGAAAAGAGAACCATAATTGTCTATGTCCTGAAGTGATATGGCACTTAATAAAAAATCTAAAATGTTTGTTTTATGTCACTGTCATTTATAAAATAGCGCATGGGAAGAGGAAATTAGGTGGGCCCTGGTGATTAAATTTTTTAATGATAGCTTTCTTATATCTGTGTGGTTACTGACTATTATAATTAAAGAGGTAAGAATTTAAACATTGATTTTTATATAAACTTGTGACGAAAGTTTGGTCATTAGAGTCTATTAAGATTTCAAGGATGTGGATGATTATTGCTGTATAGTTAACAGATAAAGCAGAAGACAGAATTATTTTTAAACGTTATTTTTAAATATTCCATTCATCTTTTTAGCTAATAGGAATATAGTGTCTACACATCGCGGATTCAGTTAAGTTTTTGAAGACTTTATTTTCTAAGTGGAACATATAATAGTTACAGAAGGTCGGACGTAGCGGTGACCCCATTGCAACCTCATCAGTCTATGGGTAAATATTATCAAGGAATAGACCGGAATTTTAGCTACAAGTTTACGGAGGATGTTCATTATGATATTTAGGGTGGACGGGAGAAGGAATATTTATATATTTCAATCTTTTAGGGGACGTTAGTAAAAAACTTTCGGCTTTTTTTATGGGTAAGATTTGTGAAAATTCGTTGACGTTGTTTGGAGTGTATGTTAGTATAATATGGTTAACTGTTTTGAATGGTTGGTAAACTAGAGTATGAATTTGGGAATTAACAGTGGCTTCTTTTGTAAGGATTTTTGTTTTTCCAAGTAGCTGGGTTTTTAATTCCACAATGTTTTTAATTCCACAATGTTTTTAATTTTACAATCATGAATCCTATTCCCGCATTTTAGCAATGACAGTTTACATGTTTATTTTTATATTAAAAAAGATGTCAATAAGTGCTTTTCCGAAGTGT